GAAGGAAAGGCTGGAGGTGAGGGAAACTTGATTAGAGACTGCATTGAAGAGGACACGCATCATATTTGTCCTAGAGGGTACACAAAAAGAGAATCAGGATCTACTGATGAAAATGAAAATCCAAAAGCTGCCTAAAGATGGCAACAGAGCACCTTGATTTGTCATCGCAGCTCATTAGGCGGAAGGGCTTAAAAGGCTTATTAGTTATCTACTGCTACATAATAAATTCTCTCAAAATGTGGTGGTTTAAGACAGCAAACACTTATTATCTCACAGTTTCTGTGGGTTAGAAATTCTGCAGTGGCTTCATTGGGTGGTTCTTTCAAAGGGTCTCCAATGAGATTTCAGTCAAGATGCTGCCATGGACTGCTGTCATCTGAAGGCTCACTCAGATCTCTGAGGCTGTTGGCAGGAAGCCCTGGTTCCTCAGAAGCAGCTGTTGGGAGGAGGTCGCAGTTTTTTGCGAAGTGGGCTTCTCTAAAACACAGCTGCTTGAGTGTTCTCATGACATGGCAGTTGGTCTCACTGAGAGGGAGTGATTCAACAGACAGCCCAAGGAGGAAGCCACAATGCCTTTCTGACCTAGTCTCAGAAATCGGACACTGTCACTTCTGCCATAAATTTATGGGTTGGAAGCGAGTCTGCAGTGTTTGGCTCACAGTCAAGGGCAGGGGAATTGAGCTCCACCTCTTGAAGGGAGGAGTATTCAACAAACTATGGACAAAGCACCTGTAACAAGGTCACACAAGTGGACTTTGAAAGTTCCTTCATATCTGAGATTCTCCAATTCTATTCATGAATCAGTAGACAAAGGGCAAACCTCAAAAGTGTCCATTATTTGAGTCATATCACCTTGGAAGCAGCCCACTGGAGCTCTGATAACTAATGTATTTGTCAAGAGGAGAGTCTACCTAACGGCTTCCAGGAAACTCCATCAAGCAGCAATGAGGTTTGACTGAAACTGCTTGTGTGATGTAATGAGAAAAATATTTATGATTTTGAGAAAACAAAGTAGACACACAAAAGGCTACAGTAGGAGATTGTGTGATTATATTATTCTTGGGACCAAAAAAGTGATTAACAATATACAGCAGTTTTTTTTTTTTTAAATTTTGGAAACTGTTTTGTTTTATTTGGATGTGTAGAAAAGAAAGACTTCTGAGCTTTCTTGTTACTAGAAATTACTGAGCATCCAGGAGCCAGGAGTTTATAGTCATACTCTTATGACAGTGAAAAAGCAATAAATGGAAGTCATGGTCCAAACATGAAGCAAATTAATTTATAGCTAATTTGGAGCAACTGATAGAAAGGAGAATCCACTTGATCTCAGTGACTGAAACAGTCTCCTTTTACAGGCAGAGGTTTATGACAAACCCTGATCTCTACATGTCCGATCTTCTGCTTCTAGGGTATGCAGTGAGCACTATTTATACTATAATCTTGATGCTGTCAATGCTGGTCACTGACACTATTTAGAGTCAATCCCTGATCAAACTACAGAGGTAAGTATAGATATAAGAAGGCACATGTTAATAATCATAACAACAATGGTATTGTTGACAGAGATTGAGGTGAGGTAGGAGAGTGAAGGAGGAAGAGAAAAGGAGAAAAGCGAGTGCTATAGGGTCTGAATGTTTGTTTCCTCCAAAATCCATGTTGAAACCTATTCCCCAATATGGCAGTATTAAGATGTGGGACCCTGAAAAGGTGATTAGGTCATGAGGACTGTGCCCTCATGAATGGATTAATACCTTCACAGATTAATGGGTTATCATGGGACTGGAACTGGTGGCTTTATAGGAAGAGAAAGAGAGACCTGAGCTAGCACACTCAGCCGCCTCACCATGTGATGTCCTGTGCCCCTATGGACTCTACAGAGAGTCCCCGCCAGCAAGAAGGCCCTCATCACATGCAGCCCCCTGACCTTGGACTTCTCAGCCTCCATGACTGTAAGAAATAAATTAATTTTCTTTACAAATCACTCAGGTATTCTGTTAGTTTTAGGTATTCTGTCATAAGCAACAGAAAACAGACTAACAGTGCATGAAAACAGACTAACAGAAAACAGTGCATGAACTTTCCTCAACTTACATAGCTGAAGTGGTGAGAAATGTTTGATAGACATTATATAAAGTTAATGGATCAAGAAATAGTGTGTTGAAGTGCAATAATTTTTAAAATATTATTTCAAGTTAGAGTAGAATTCCAACAAAAATCAGGAAGGAAGAGAAGTGGGATATGGTGGGGGCTGGGTTTTTAATTTTTTCACAGCAAGCGGTCACAAGTTACTGACTAATCAAGAAATAGATGTGTGAGCACATTCTATAGAGTGAGGGTGTTTCCCGTGAGAATAACCAGAACCAAAGACTGACTGGTGGCTCTGGAAATGGAGTATAAAAGGTGACTTTCACATCTTTGATTCCTGTCCTTCTATACTGTTTGAATTTACTTTGTTTCCTACTTCTATACCGTTTGAATTTATTTTCTTACCACATACTTAACATCCATACCTGTTATAGAAAGTTCACACAATTGGTAGCATCTGTAAGTTGACATTAGCCTATGTTTGCCAGGTTTTAGTAGATAAGCTTCACAAGCATCAACGCCTCCAGTTAACAAATGGCAAGGTTTCACTTATTTCATAAATTGGCACTTCACACTTAATGCTTCCTCTTGAAATAAAGAGTTTATAAATCACTACATTGGTAATAAAAACTATATAACGTGAGCTAAAATACTATGGCTTATCCTTAAATATGCATTTTTGTACCACCAAAAATGAAAAGCCAACCAAAAAGACATTACAGTTTTCAGGGTTAACACAAATAGGTAAGAGTCCAGGCTCAGCAGAGTACTGTGATACTCTTTTTAGGAATAATCGATGAAACAATTTTAATGCCCCCCGCAACCCACCACTGCCCAAACACTAAGGGTTATTCTTCTGAGGTTTTTTGTTTGTTTTATTATTAATTTAAGTTCCGGGATACATGTGCAGAATGTGCAGGTTTGTTACATAGGTATACACGTGCCATGGAGGGCTTGCTGCACCCATCCATCTGTCATCTACATTAAGTATTTCTCCTAATGCTATCCCTCCCATAGCCTCCTAGCCCCTGACAGGCTCCATTGTGTGATGTTCCCCTCCCTGTGTCCACGTGTTCTCACTGTTCAACTCCCAGTTATGGGTGTTTGGTTTTCTGTTCCTGTGTTAAGTTTACTGAGAATGATGGTTTCTAACTTCATCCATGTCCCTGCAAAGGTTTTATGGAAACCCCATGTCCATCCTCCGCATATGTTTAAAACGAACCAGGTTGGGTTTAACTATCTAACTGGAAGAACATTCAAAGGATTCAACAATGATTAAGATACCAAAGAATAAAACTAGTATTTGTCTTGGTTTAACAAAACATGACTGTTAAAAAGTACATCTCCTTGGAGTAACCTAGGTACTATGTACAGAGGGTAGAAGGAAAGACTATGGCCAAAAAAAAAAAAAAAAAAATACAGCTGGTGGTTAGCGTCCAGGTGGAGAAAAAGGGCTTTTATATAAAGTGTACTTTTTCTCTGATGAATGAATAAAGAGATTTTATGAAAATGTTTTGGGGTTCTATAGAAAAAGTATTTTTATACCCATAAAAAACACTCAGTCTTCTACTTCATAAACTATGAAGGGACGTGTACTATAGCAATTGACAACAATCACACAATATACATCAGGCACCACTCACGCTTTCTGTAAGGAAATTTACAGGAAGGGTTAAACTACCACAATCCCCGTGGATGACCTATAGTGCTTGTATTAAAAAAAAAAAAAGCAACAAAAAACACAAGAATGGACTAGTACACTGAGCTATCGCAATGAAAATGTACAAACTCCTACTGCATGTAACATGGATGAATCTAACAAGCTTAAATACTGACTGAAGACTAGACACAAGTGATACATACTCCTGATTCTATTGACATAATAAATAAAACCAGGCAAAACTAATCATGGTGTTACAAGTCAGCATACTGTTTAACTTCGGAGAGGGTAGAGATCAGAAGGGGTCAAAAGAGGACTTCTGGGGTTGTGGTAAAGTTCTATTTTTTTTTAATCTGGGTGCTGGTTACAGGGGGGTGGGTTCACTTTGTGATAATTCATCAAGCAGTTGCAGTTATGATTTGTACACTTTTCTAAAAATGTACATATGCTTCAGTTAAAAAGTTAACTTAAAAAAAATAACATATGGTGCCCCTGCTAGTGTATGTGTCACCTTTATGCAGATTTTCATAATGTGTCCCCTCTGGAGAGATGGATTAGAAAAAGGCAACCCTGTGGTCAGCGGCCGCCCCACAACTCTGTGCCTTCACAAACAGAGGGTGGGCTGGGTTTCATCCCACTGGTGCTTGGCTGGAAACAAAACCACACATCTGGATGGACATCTGCAAATCTGCAAAAACACTCATTTGACCCTCTCTCACCACAGCTTTATGAGGAGGGCAGGGCAGACGTCCTTGTTTTACAGACGAGGAAATGGCATGGAACAGCAAGACCGACGCACGAAGGTGTCATGGCTAACGAGCCACGGAGCCAGGACTGACCTCTAGGCCAGCAGCTCTTCACTCGCTTCTCATTGCTTTTGGGGAATGGGAACAGGAAGAAGCTTCTCTCTCTATTATTGTGTGCCTTATTATGGGGTCACCTCAAGTGCTTTGCGGAATAAGATAGGGCATGAATACGTGGTCCAATGTTGTTAATACTGGACTTTAGTAAAGGTCCTTGGTTCTAAGCTTATTTGAAACATATTCTCTAAGTGTATACTTAAAAATGAACATTCATCTTTTACATGCTTACCTATGGAAAACGATCAGCAGAACAGGGAGGTTCAGATAGCAATAAAGCATGCCAACCCTCCCGCAGTTTAAAATTATTGACTTAAGGGTATACATATGTTCATTTTTTCTTGAAAAAATAAAATAAAAGAGAAAGACGCACACAATGCACATGTCTCACTTACCTAGAAGTGTCTGCTTATTTTGGGAGGAGTCAGGCTCGGCAGAACATCTGCATGAACGGAGAACAATCACTCCGCCTAGCACGCCATCTTCACTGGCGAGGAAAGGTGAACCTAGGCAGAAAGGACTAGTCGTCATTTTTCAGTGGATTTTACTTTTTTAATTTTCAATTTTCATTTGATTATTAGAACAAAAATGTGGCATGAATAAGATCTTGAAAGATGCCCATTTTCTGACAACCACCATTGTTCATACCTCATTATACACTTGATGGCAAAGGCAAGTTTATGCCTGAACAGGGGCCATTTGGCAAAGAAAATGCCACATGCTGTCAGGAAGATGTAAGTGGGGGAGGGAATGTGCATTACTGTATTCAGAATGGAATTGGAAACGCTACCAGATTAAAGGACCAAAACACAAATACAGGAAAAAATGCTCAACAACTCTCTTTGATCAGCTCTTAGGGATCACTTACCACAGGCTCTCCCTGCTGTCAGGGACACACCACCAAAAGCTTCAGTTTACTACCTTAAATGCAATTTGAAACAATAAGCCACAAACTTTATTATAAACATTTTTAAATGCTTCTGATGGTTCGCACAAGTAAGGGTGAAACTGCATTTCTATGATGAGAGTCTGGTGGTTAGAAAGAGTTGGGCCTCTTTGAGATCTCACACACTGAACCACTGTGAGCATTTCAAGAACATTATATTTTAAAACCCCTCATTTTTCTTCCCCAAGGACATCTTCTTCAAACATCTGGCATAGCAAGTGAGCACATGGAGAACAAATGCAAAATTAACCCAAGAACTATCAAAGAGAGTAGTAAAAAATCAAACCCAACCAAATTGGATTTGGTGGGAGCTTCTGGTTAAACTTACTATATTAAATACACATATTTTTCTCCCTCCCTCCCCAAATCCTACTGACTTGATGGGAAAGGAAGAAAAAAGCCATAGCCCAATAAGGGCAGAAAAAGAGGCAGACAAGGAAAAAACTGACCTTTTGGAAAATGGTAAGAAGACAGATAAGTGGCTGCTCACCTAACAAACCCACGAAAGCTGAAACCTAAGTTTTCATGAGGCAGGGGAAAATTGGAGTGGAGGATACCCACAGGAAACCAGACCAGTTTTGCCATAAAATGCAAAAAGGTTCAGAAATTGGAGGCTTTAAGTTCCTCTGAAGGCAGGGGTACAGGGTAGAGATGATAAAAGATGGTAAGTTGACAGTGTCCAAAAGAATCCTCTAGATCAGAGGTTGTCCTGCTAAGAATGCCATCATTTTGTTTTGTTTTTAGTTTTTAAAGGGTTGTTTAAAAGAGAAAAAAAAAGGAGGAGGAGGAAGAGAAGGAGGACAACATGCCACATAGACCGTGATACAGGCTGCAAAGCCCATAATCTTTATTCTCTAGCTCTTTCACAGAAAAACTTTGCCAACTCCTGATCTAGAACAGGAGATCAGAACTGCAGTTCCTTTCCAAAAAGGAAGTGACTCCTCCCTAACCCTGAAGAAGCCAGGATATTTACTCTCTAGAGAAGGTGAACCAGAGAGAATTGAGACTTGGGAGCATCAGGGTTAGCCCAGGGCAGGAAAGAGGCTACACACTGAAAACAGGGAGCTGAGGTATGTCTTTATGCTAAACAGTGAAATAACCAGCTCCCAGGACGCAAGAAATCAAACTGATATACTCCAAGAAGAGACTAGATAGTCCCTTTCCAGCAACCCAGCCAACTCAAGACTAAAGACCTACTTGAGAGATGCCCACAAGAAAACGTGTCCTTGCCTTAGGGTGAGGGCTTCAAGATGACAAGTATGACTCATACACAAAAGGATTTTAGTTCAGCTTGGCGTTTAACTATTAAATAGTTAATACCAAACCGTTGATATGTAACTAGTACAGACAATCTAGGATTATTAGTTGTTTTAGTTAGGTCTCTGTTTTAGGAAAGACAGAGACCAAAAAAACAAAATAGTTACACAGGGAAAATTTGGGCAAGTGTACTGAGCAGAAGAAAAGTAAAACAAAACAACAACAACAAAAAACATTAAAAAGACAGATGAAAAATGAGTGAAAAATATAAGAAAATCACAAGACTAGGCCAGAACTATCCAATATGTGAATAACAGGAGTTTTAGAGAGGACTAGAAAAAATAAAAGGAGTAAAATTTCTAAGAAATAATTCAAAAACATTTCCAAGAATTTTAGATGAGTGTTCAAACTGAAAAGGTCCATCAGCCTCCCAGTACAACTCATGAAAAAGGCACCCCATGGAGATTTATCCCTATGAAATATTAAGATACTAAGGAAGGAAAGAAGGGTCTAAAAATTTTCAAATGGGAAGAAAAGATCACATGGAAAGCAAGGGTATTACAATGGCATCAGATTTCTCAATAACAGCAATACCTGAAGCTAAAAGATTATGAGGCACTCTCTTCAAAATGCTGAGGAAAAATTATTTCCAACCTAGAATTCTATATTCAGCCAAAAGGTCAATAAAGTATGAAAGCAGAATAAAGCTCTACAAAGTCTCAAAGAGATTACCTCCCATGCATTCTTTCTCAGAAAGCTACAGGATGAATGTTCCTTGACAGAATGAAGAAGTGAGGTAAATAATGAGGAAGAAAATAAGATCTGGATACAGAGGATCCATAACAAGAGAAGATAATGGGATTCCAGATGACAGAGCTATGCAGCAAGCTGAGAGAGCAAACTGAATTGGAGCATGAAGTCAGAGGAGGCCAGGAAAGGTAATTCGAAGGGGAGGGAAAAATAAACTGACTGAATACATGTTGGTTTGAAATTACTGAGAGAAAATGTTTCAGATTTTGAGGAAAGTTTGGAGATGAAAGAGTGACTAGTACCAAAAAAAAATAAGACTTGTACAAGAAATGAAATGGAATCACAGTGTACTATGTAGCTAGGATGTGAATCGCTAGAGTAAACAAATATAAACTCTCATACTGATAAGCAAAAAAAAAACAAAAAAAAAAAAGAGGGAGAAACATAATACACCAAAAGAAGTTTAATTTTCAGAACCACTCTGCCGTGAGACATTTTAATTTTCAGAACCACCCTGCCATGCAATTTTTTATTATCATTTACAGATGAAGAACCTGAGCTTCAGAGAGGTTCAATGACTTACTACAGCCAAGCTATAGTTGAGCAGGAAATACAGCTTCCCCCAGCATCTTCTGAGCCATGATCCTTGCTTCATTTGTAGCAATGCCTCTCAGGTAACAAAAAAAATCTCTGAACAACCTCAAAATGCAACTGTGTGCTGGAAACCTCCATCCCAACAGTACTCAAAAATGGCACCTCTACAACTGTTCCTTTTACCACCAAATCCAGAAACTTCTCCTGGCCTCCAATAGCTCATCTAAGCTCAAAATCCTTTACCTCTTCCCTCTCCCACAAGTCAACACTTCACACCATGTCAAATCTGTTAGTTCTCCCTATGACCTCATTTTGGCCTGCCCCCTCCCTTCATTCCCACTGACAAGACCCTCAATGTATTCTCATCGTCCAAGAAACCCTGCAACCAGCTCTAATCTGGCCTTCTGCTCTAGTCATTCAAATCTCTAAATTAATTAATTTAATAAAAATGTACTAAGTGCCAGGACTTTTCTAGGCACTGGGGATACAGAAGTCAACAAAGCCCCTGTATACATCTAGTTGAGCAGCTTGGGGGACAAGTATTAAACTCACAAACCAATATGGAAATCCACCCAATAGCAGTAAGTGTTATGAAGTAAATGATGGAGAGTGTCACTGGGGCTGAGCCTTGTCTACATCAAAGAGCAAGAAGGCCTCTTTTGGTCAGGAGCTAACCATGTGATAATCTGAGGAAAGACCATTCCAGGCAGATCGACCAGCAAATGCAGAGACTCTGAGGTGAGGGAGGGAGGGGGAAGAAAGGATAGAACATGAGTTTAAGAGAGGCCAGGGCCAGGTCATAGACAGTGATAACATTTATTTGGACTTGTAAAAGTTACTTAGCTGTGCAGAATGTAATGGCAAGGCAAGCATAAAAGCAACAACCAACTAAGCTGCTGTGGCAGCCCAGCTGAGAGGTGACAGTGGCCTGGGTGAGCCTTCTGACAGTGGAGGCTATCTACAGAAGCTGGGTCTGTGATATATTCTGCAAGTCGAACTAATAGAGTTGTTCATGGAAGGGACATCAGAGGCATGGGAAACAGAGACTTCAAAGTTTACTGTAAAAAGAGATATGCATCCCAGCCATGGCCATATCATTAAACAACTGAAAAACCTGCAATAGCTCCCAACTGCCTATAGAATGATGCCCAAATTCCTTAGTCTGGCGTAGCCTTTCTTATCCCTCCCAATCTTATCACCCTGTTTATTTTACACATCATTTGTACTTCCCATACTCTACTCCCCTAAGATTTCCCCTGGGCCCCTGGTTGTGAACTGTCCTTCCTGGCTCCCTTTCCCCTGATAAACTGAATGTTCTTCAGCTCCAGTGCCTTTTATACAGATCCGAACTTTCTGGGGTAAAGGTATCTCATTCACCTTTGAAGCCCCCTAGTTATTATCAAAATAATTCCAACACACATACACATACACACACACACACACACACACACACACACACACACACACACACACTCCTGCCTACATCACTGTAGTGTGGCAAAGAGAATGCCAAGAAAGAAGAAAATGATCCCAGCACTTTGAGAGGTCAAGGCGGGTGGATCACGAGGTCGAGTTCAAAACCATCCTGGCCAAGATGGTGAAATCCTGTCTCTATTTGTAAAAATACAAAAATTAGCCGGGCATGGTGGCGAGCACCTGTAATCCCAGTTACTCAGGAGGCTGAGGCAGAGAACTGCTTGAACCTGGGAGGTGGAGGTTGCAGTGAGTCAAGATTGTGCCACTGCACTCCAGCCTGGGCGAGGCAACAGAGCAAGACTCCGTCTCAGGAAAAAAAAAAAAAAAAAAAAGAAGAGAATGGCACTTTTACGCAAGTACTCTGAAAGCGAGCAGGGGCCCAGGCTACTATGCAAGCTTATATCAGCGTTGCATTTGGTATGAGTTCGTCCAATTATTTAATGAAAGTACAGTTAGAGCGCATTTCAAGATTCCATGTTTTTT